AGCTGCGACCGTTCATTCCAGTAATAACAAACAAAGAAAGACATTTTATTGTTTATATTTATACCTTTTTAAATAATCAATTAAAGTAGGTTTAAAAATATTAATTATTGTATTAACATGATTAATGATGCGAACGTCTTTATACGTTTCATTGATGGAACAGCCACTGATTAAGAAATCAGTACAGACGACATGCCTACTGTAGTTTATGCAGTGATGAACGCAATGGGGTTTCTTTAGAAATAAAGGAGAAAATATTCAGTTGATGTAAATATACCAAAATAAAATGCACACTACGGATGGCAATAAAGATCATTTTCTCTTTTATTTCAAATTTTTTTGAATATGATTTGGGTCTCAATTGCTCTAATTATACCCCTCGCTTGAAAAGTGGAAGGGTATAAACTATAAAGTAATCGGTATGTCCGTCCCACCATCTGTCTGATACACTTTGGGGTACCTATATCTTATTCGCAACTCCTCTCATACCACTGAATGAAATTTGATGAAACTTTCACAGAATCTTTATCACATATTGCCACTGTGCACCTCCTATTTTACTTTTTGATCTGACACATATTTTGGGTTTCCCATAACAAAACATGTGATATGGACACCCCCATTATATTCATAAGGGAGGCGGGGGTATCATTTAATGAGCTCATTGCTCACAGTACTCTAGGTTTTTTAAAGTTTATCCCCAAAACGTGTATAAAATTATATGGTTGTTTGGTTTACAAAAGCACACAGCAAAGATCCACTTTTTCTTAAATATATATCTCAATGAAACAATCTTTCCAACGAACATTTTGAAGTCGCATGAGTCATATCACAGACACTATGGAAACGTCACCAGGAGCTGTGTAGCAGAGTGGCTTGCATGTTAGTGTCAAAGAATCAAAGTACTGAAAGTACTGGAAAGCGCTAAGCATGGGTTAACTTGAACTTCATCAGAATTTAAATATCTTATAGCATTGGAATAAGTACATGTAATATTTTGACTGGGCAGCTGTAAAGGGGGGGGGGGGGGGCAACTCAGTTGTTTAATTGAAATAAACCCAGCTCTTGATTGCCTTGATTTCACATTAAATAACATCGAATGTAAATTGTATTACTATAACAAAGTCTTTAAATATGCAAAAAAAAAAAACAAAAAAAAAACAAAAAAAAAACAACAAAAAAAAACAAACAAACAAACAAACAAACAAAAACCAAAGAGAATCTAATTTACTATTTCTGTGCATTTTTTTTTAAAGCAAGTGAGTTACTTTTGTAACCTTCTTTGTTTTCCGCACCATAATTACAAGTCCGGAGAACAAGATTACTTGTGTTGCATTGTGGGTCCAGGTTTCTGCGATAAAATCAAATTTGTATCAATGTTACAGTCCGATTTTTTTCTTCTGACTCATCTCATTTCAGATTATGTATATAGCTCTACATTAGCTGGAAAGCTGTGGGTTTTTTTTTTGTTTTTTGTTTTTGGGTTTTTTTTTTTTTTGGTTTTTTTTTTTGAATGCCTAAGATGTTGCTAATATCCTTATCTTGAACGTAAAGTGGAGAACACAAAACCTTCTAGAAATTTTGAACAATAAATCATTCTGCTCTCAAGAATATTATTCGTACTTACTGAAATTAAAACTTGACTGTCGGCGACCGTGCCTTTCTTTGTTATTATCGGCCGCATAGGTGATCCACCTATGGGCAGTTGTGTTTGAAAGTGTACAGGGAGAAATTAGATATTATTTTTATATTATTAGGTATTTTTAGGATTATGAATAAAAGATTTTTAAAATGGTTCAATATTTTGTTTGAACTGTTTTTAGTTATTTTAATTTTTCTCCTCTTCATAGATATTTATAAACTTATAATTTTTATATAAACGGTTTTACAAAAAAAAAAAAAAAAAAAAAAAAAAAAAATCCTAGCATGGGAACTAGTAATATATACACGCAATCAATAAAAGTTACTGGGTATACAAATAATGAATAAAAATTGAACTTTTAAATTTTGTATTGAATATGGTACGGTTGAATAGCAAAACAATATTTTTTCAATATTTCACATTTATTGTGATACCAATCCCTCATCGTGCAGCATGTTGCTATCAACATGTAACAAAAATCCCCGAAGACTTTACTTCTTTTTTCATTACATTGCTATAATATCAATTTTGGTTATAAGGATATTGCATTTGTCTTTTTGTCATTTTGATGAAAAACCATTCTTATCCTCCATCTCTGACTCTCACGCACATGAATTATAATTTATTTGTACCGAAAATTAAAAACGTTTGACCATTCTTTTTCTTGTGTAATATTTGAAGCTGATTTGTAATTATTTGTTTTTAAAATAAAAATGTAAAATTAAATACTCTTCTAAAAATATAGATCATATTAAAATTCGTGAGTATTTTCCTCTGACTCATTTTGGCGGAAATACTTTAAAATGCTTCAGTTTTTTTCACTATCATGTAAAACATGCTGACAAGAATGAAATAGCCACAACACCCTAGCGTTCAGTCAAAAAGAATTTTGCATCAAAATATTTTGTTACAGGTAAAGACCAAATTAATTAAGTATAGACTATCTATATAAATGCGTTCAAGTTTAAAATTTGTGCTACTAATGGATAAAATCCATACTGTGAAATTATTATCATTGATAGCCATCTGCAATATGCAAGTATGATAATAAAAAGGCTCATTTGTACGAGGGTTGATCCAAAAGTAATGTCACAACTTTGATAAAATTGATATAAATCAACGTAAAGTAACAAAATTGGACGTGATAGAAGCTTTATCTATTTCAAATCAGACCTGAAAAATTCAAAGGATTATGATGTATATTTTCCAAAATATCGAATTTTAAACAATGTGCGTTTATTGTAGTCGCCGCACCTAAATATAACGTCATATGACGGATACGCACCGCCATACTTTTAAACATTTCCACTTCGTTTCATTAGAAGATATTTGTGATTCGCGAAAAACTTTCACCAATTCTACTTTCTTTAAGAAATCTTGGTACCATAATACACCCACTCTTCATAATTAAGCCCTTTGTCAAAATTTTTGAACAGTAGCATAAGACAAACTTTAAAATTCACATGTCACTCTATATGGCTGCCTTTTTTGACAACGTCAGACACCACTGAACGTTTCCGTCCGATCTCCTATCTTTCGGTCTTCTTGTCCTATGCTGATCATTCAGTGACCAATCACCCGCCCAAAATTGCTTAAACCATCTATTAAGATATCTTTTATTTACATTCTTTATTCTATAAGTCTGATTATTTAATGTAACTGTCGCTATTGATGATTCCAATATTTTGAAGTAAAAATACATTACAACTCGTCGAGCCGTTTTTTTTTTCCATTTCGAACAATCCCTTTGTTCAATTCAAAAGAGTAAATGTTTATGATCACAAATACCAATACCGTCGTTTAATTTTCAATTAAAGACTTAAAAATGGCGAGAATTTTGTCTTTTTATATTGGGATATTATGTGCTTTTTAGAATCTTTTTAATGTGTTTGTCTTAATTTTTCATTATAAAAAAAATATACTTTAAAACTTGACGTGACGTTATGACGCGGCGACATCACCTATGCTCTATGTTTTAAACATTTATATTTACATTTGCAAATGTTTTCCTTTACATAACACTACTGAAGGCAAGCGTTTTTATAACTGTGTAAATACAGGTTTGGGGTCAAGAGGTCATAGATGTGCGTTTGGATAAACCTTCCACGTAATTATGTTCCCCAAACGAAGTTGGGGAACATATTGTTTTTACTCTGTTTCTTATTAGGGTCTTCCGCTTCCTTCGGAAGACCCTACTGTTATTCTACTGTTTCTTATTATTATTTTATTTTTTTTTTCCCCGCTCGATTTTTGACAGGCTATTTCTCAAAGACCTTTGGACTGATTTTTATGAAACTTTCAGGTTAGATACCTTGTAATTAAACCTATTTACACCTGTTTTCAATTTTTTGATGCATGCCTTTAATTGTGAGTTATTGCCCTTTAATTGATAATTTTGATGTCTCGTTTCCACTAAAAATCTCAAGAACGACGTAAGATATTTACACGAAAGTTGGAGAACTTGTAGCCAATACATTGTAGATGTGCAGAACGATAAAATTATAAGCTGATTTCCTAAAGTTTGGAAGCTATAAAACGGCAAATTTTAGTAATTTTTTTTCTTGAATTTTTGCTACTTTTTGTGTAATAACTTTTGAACCGAGAATAATTTGGTAAGAAATATAGAACAAAAGTTGTGTGTAATTACGAGAGCTTTCATATTAGATTAATGAAAAGGGGCTGGCCCCTATAATTAGGGGTTAATAGCTCATACACGTTTTTTCTGATAGCTTAAAATATTGGTATATTATGAAAAAGTTTGACTGAAATAATTTCGAACTTATAAAATCTTGTCATTTGATATAAAAAGAAATAAACTTCCAGCTATATTTAATTGTTTTTTACATAAAACAAGTACATGTATGTGAGAAACCTTTCAGGAACAAGTTGTCTACTATATCCAGCCAAGCCTTTACTGCATACATGTGCATATTTTTAGTTGATGCATCTAAAAGATATAGTTTTGATTCGGTGTTTCTTTGTTTTCTTTTTATTCAAATAATTTTAAGATGTGATAATGTACACAACAATAATTAGTACCTAGTTTAGAGGATTTTTTCGCGCTTGTTTGTAAACAACGCGCGGCATTGTGGGAAATAGGAAGGTACTAAAGACGCGATGTACTAAACACTTATTTGACCTGATTCAAATTTGTCTGTAAATGTTCCAAACAATTGAATTTTTGTATAGAATATGCCTCGAAGTCATAAAGTCTGTACATAAGTAATTTAAAATGCTCAATATTACCATTCAATTAAAAATTAAAACGTCAGGTAAATATCAGGTCTCTAGTATATCCCGTTTTTAGTGTGCCCCTTCAAGTCGACGTCGGACACATGTTTGTCATGGTTTACAAACTGAAAATAGAATGATTTGTGAAGTTGAACATTTTCTCATAAAGAATCCGTTTGTAGACATGCACACTCATTTAATCTGGAGCTACGAAGTACTTTGTCACTTCTCTGGAACATTATTCTAAGCAGAATTATCCCGATTCATATATTCTAAGAATCTTGTGTGAATTGTTTACGAGGAAATTCTGACTGTCACATTAACAAGGATGAACACGCTTGACTCTGCTCCGGATTCCCCAGTGGATAATTGTATCGAGTGATGAAAGAGCTGACGGCGACATTTTAATGTATGATTGGCTTGGACCATTGGAATGAAGGTTAGAATATTTTTATTACTTAAAATTTACACTACTGATCAGGTTGGGCACAGCCTACCAAATGGTACTTTATCCCCCGTTTGGTAGATAATCTACCATATCGGTAACGAATTTTGCTAACCAAATGGGGGACTTTTTTATTCTATTGCAATTTTTATTAAAATAAAACAAAAGCGCATTTATTCAGGCAATGGGGGATTTTAATGAACATATTCCTCGTACAATTAACATAAATCGGTCGAATTTCTATGTGTAATTTCTCCGTAACTTCGTAAAAACAATACCCGTAGTTGTCTGTAACAGCCGAACTTCTTGATCAAACGATAAAAAAAATCTTTATTGTGTCTTGTTGGATAAAAATCCAATTTTATACAGTGATTTAACTCTTGATGAGTTAACTTTCAATCTCTTTTTGGATCTTCGTCAATGTTTATCTCCATAAAATCCTGTTAAACACGAGCTCCTCATGCCTTACCGGTATGGTGGGCACTTCCTGCTATAAAGTTAATTTTTTCCAGAGTTGTACGTAATATTTGTTGTTATTTTTCTTTTAGGATGAAGTTGTAGATTCCATGCGACCTTTTGAGGTTTAATATGCATATTACTAGTGAATTTAATAAATTCGAAAAATAATATTCAAAAAAAGATGTACAAAATGACTTTTGCCATTATTCTTGTTTTTGTTCCAAGTACATCGTTTTAAAACAATAATTATGTCATACTCCAACTGCATTTACTATTTCTATGAAGAACAAAGCCATTGTGTTCAAAATAAAAAGAAATAAAGGCAAAACTTATTTTTCTTCTGATTTCCTAGTTGAAAATTAATACAAATGTGCCTCCGTAGTTAGATCCGACTTTTCATCAGGTTTAAAAAAGATCATCGTTTTGATTGGTTTGCACTAATTGATTGGTTGCCCGGATAATCAAAATAGAAAGTAAAGGACATGATTGACAGGTGCAGCATCGTTGGAGAAGGAAAGAATTTTCTTTTAAAGTAAAAAACGGAGAAACATTGCACTTGTTTACATAAGTTACGTTTTTTGTCAAATTTTTGAACGACTTTGCGCAAAAAATTGCACATAGAATTTTCGATTTTTTTCACCCAGAACACCGATAAATATCTATATTTTATTCCACATGGTTTAAAATTATGCGAAATTCCACTCCACTCTATGGAATTAAACACAGCCAATTTTGTCCCCCATTTGGTTAGTAAAATTCGTTACCGATATGGTAGATTATCTACCAAACGGGCGATAAAGTACTATTTGGTAGGCTGTGCCCAACCTGCTGATTACATGACAGTGACGTACATTGATGTTATTAGAAATACACAGACACACCGATATATTATCTGTTTTACAGTTCAGATGCTCTCTGTTTGCCTTGTAAATCCCCACAGCTTTATATATATATATATATATTTTTAAATTTGAGGATGTAACTTCAACAGTCCTACTATCTATGATAGTGATCATACTCTATAATTCAAACTGCACTTAATGTTACAGAATATATTCAACTAATTGGGAAGTTTCTAGTATGCCGGTCAACAGAATTGCGCATGAGCAGTTATTTCCCTTGCCGTTGCTATGCAGAATGTAAACAAACTGCAATTTCCCACTCGCTTCAACAAAACGCATCCGATCGAGTGATTAGGGTTAGGTTGTTTATTTTTTAAAATTGTCTTTTTTAATAAATCCATTCTGTATTCTTTAATTCTGACTTAGGGCTTATTTATGTAATTTTTGCTTACAAAAGCCACTATGTGTGCGCATGTGCCTTTTGTGATAAAAAACTTGCATGTATCAGCCTGTCGAATTGTGCCGATATCTTACACTTTGGCTTAGTTCATGAAATTTTTGCTTTACAAATGAAAGATTAAGAAATGAAAGTTCGGGTAAATCAACTCAATTTTTGAAACATGACAATTTTTAGCGCTGAGTTTAGGCAAGTTATTGTAAAAGCGACTTACCGTTAACTGCAGCTCGGTATCCTGACCTCCTAATCATGTCCAAATAGGCCCCTTATTCATAAATTTTATCTTTTCAAATCGATAATGATGCACAATTCAATCCATCGATGACTAGTAATTAGCTAACATTTGTTAAATCCCTGTATTTCTCACAAAAATCACGCAATTTTAATAGCATTGCACTATGAGTCCTATCAGGCATTTCTTCATTACGTCAAAACACAAGTGACGCATCTCATGAATATTTATGAGATTACGTCAAAAATTGATCATGTGACTGCATTCCTAAACAATTTACGCAAGATGGAGATTTACTTCCTAAACATGTACGTTATTTTACAAAATCTTTTAATTCTTATTTAAAAAACTGTGTTTAAAAACCAGTTTTGTAAACCCAATTTTTCACAAGGAACATGAATTTTGGGTCAAATTTGCAATTTGTGGCTTCTTTTTCAATTTTGTCGATCGTTCACGCGATCGTCTATATATTGTATACCGCCTTCGGCGGCACCTATTTTAGCGCCATATTTATGGGGACCGGTATACTAGAAGTGTTCCATTTAATTAAATATTGACAGTGTGACTGTAAGGGTGAGGGCAGATACTTATTTAGTTTTAATTTAGATTGTGCTTGTCAAGCCGCATTTGACATTTGGTGCATCCATGCTCAATGTTCACACTGAGAGTTTATTCAAATGTTTAATTCGAATGAATTCACTGCTCGTTAAATTACTTCCCATTAGATCCATGTGAACATGAGTAAGGATAGCTAATTCAAATTAAATAGAAATGAATTTTGAATGTAGCTTAAACATGTTAAAGAAGCTAAGCACTGTGTGTCCAAAGTATACTGCGGAAAAATTGTGTGGAGCAATGCCCAAGTCACAATCTTCTTTTGCCAAGGTGTTATCATAAGAGCTTGCATTATGGGCAGGGATTTGTGCTGCTGTCTGGACTCGCTATAAATAGATGTTCTCAAAAAGTCTTAATTATTTGATATCATACGTTACTGACCAAAAAAGACAAATATTGCTCAGTTAAATTGCAAAAGAAATTTGTTTTAAAAAATTGTGATAATAGAAAGTTTGCTTTTTTTTGTTTTATAAGACTGCTGTAATGGTTTAATGTTTGTTTATTTGCCTTAATCATACATTTTTCAGTCATTTCATGGTGCCACCACTTGGGATGGTATTAGCTGCAAATATAGACTTGTACTCAGCACTTATTGCCTTTAAGAAGTATGAGATCCATTTTGTGCTAACACCTACCATGACACAGAATCTTGGTTTATGCAGTCTCATAGGAGTAACCTGTCTAAAGCATTTAGCAATGGAATTGGAACCTGAGACGTAAGGTTCAGCTTCTTATTGATACTTTGATTTATAATATTTATTTGAGAATTTCACTCATTCACATACTTAGAGATGTTGATATATATTGTTGAATAGCATCAATTTAGACCTTTAATTAGCTAAGTAAACATGTACTGTGAGGTTTTTAAGGTCTAATTCATTTTATATGCCAGATGCATGTTAAGGAACATTACTGCTTAAATGTTTTTGTCTTAAATTTGAAGCTTTTTACTAATATAGAGATATGTTAGTTTTAAACCTCTTCAAATTAGGGTAGACCTTTACTTTAAACTCAGCAATGTGAGTGTGTTGTGTGAACTTGTGTTAGCGAGACAGTGTGTTGTATGAATTTGTGTTAGCAAGGCAGTGTGTTTTGTGAACTTAATTGTGTTAGCTTGACAGTGGGTTGTGTGAATTCTTGTTAGCTTGATAATGTATTGCGTAAACTCGTGTTAGCGGGACAGCGTGTTGTGTAAAATCGTGTATTAAGTGTAAGTGTGACAGTGTGTTGTGTAAACTCGTGTTAGCTAGACAGAGTGTTGATTGAACTTGTATTAGCGAGACTTCGTGTTGTGTAAACTGGTGTTAGTGAGACTGCGTGTTGTGTAAACTCGTGTTAGCCAGACTGCGTGTTGTGTAAACTCATGTTAGCAAGACAGCGTGTTGTGCGTATTCTTATTAACGAGACAGCATGTTGTGTGAATTCGTGTTAGCGTGACAGTGTGTTGTGTGAACTTGTTATCCTGAAAATTTGTCGTGTGAACTGGTGTTAGAGAGATAGTGTGCTGTGTGAACTCGTGTTAGCAAGATTGCATATTGTGTGAACTTGTGAATAGCCAGACTGCGTGTTATGTGAACTCGTGTTAGCGATATTGCATGTTTTTTTAATTTGTGTTAGCGTGACAGTGTGTTGTGTGAACTCGTGTTAGCCTGACAGTGTGTTGTGTAAAATGGTATTAGGATGACAGTGTATTGTGTGAAATGGTATTAGGATGACAATGTGTTATCGCAACAGCGTTTGGTGCGAACTTGTGTTAGTGAATAGTGAGACAGCCTGTTTTGAGAATTCGTGTTAGCGTGACAGTGTGTTGTGTGAACTCGTGTTAGCCTGACAGTGTGTTGTGTGAAATGGTATTAGAATGACAGTGTGTTGTGTGAAATGGCATTAGGATGACAGTGTGTTATGGCAACAACATTTGGTGCAAACTTGTGTTAGTGTATAGTGAGACAGCCTGTTTTGTGACTTTGTGTTAGCGTGACAGTGTATTGTGTAAACTCGTGTTAGCGTGACAGTGTATTGTGTAAACGCGTGTTAGTGAGACTGCGTGTTGTGCAAACTCATGTTAGCGTGACAGTGTGTTGTGTGAATTCATCTAAGCGTGACAGTGTGTTGCGTGTACTTGTGTTAGCTAGACAGTATGTTGTGTAAAACTTGTGTTCGCAAGACAGCGTGTTGTGTGAACTTGTGTTAGCGAGTCAGCGTGTTTGTGAATTTGTGTTAGCATGATAGTGTGTTGTGTGAACTCGTGTTAGCCTGATATTTTGTTGTGTGAAATTGTATTAGCATGACAGTGTGTTGTGTGTTAGTGTGACAGCGTGTGGTGCGAACTTGTGTTAGTGCGAAAGTGTTTTTCAGTGTTGTGATGGCGAGCTGTGTGATAGCCTAATGGCGTCTCTTGTGTCGGTAAGATGGAATGCTTTTATGAAAGTGCTATTGAGCTTTAGCAAGTGGCCCTATCTGGACACGCCTTATTATAATTGATCAGTTCTCATATATACAGTGAATTACCGGTATTATTGTCACCATGAAATCAGCATTTACAGTAACTGTTGCAATTACCTAGTTAGTAATCATAAGATATTGGTTTGCCAGTTTTAAAATTATGGTGTTCCAATGATGTGAAGTTGCAGTGTGTTAGCATGTTAATTTCAACAGACTGCCACTCCAATGCAGCTTTAAACAACACGCTGCTGTGTTAACACAAAACAAAATATGCAAACACAACTTTAAACAATCTGTTGAGTGTTAGCTTCACTGCATGTTGGATTCAGTGTGCTGGCATATTATCACTGACTTACTTGCTAGCACATTGTCAATGTCACCTTGTGCTAGTATGTTGTCATAAATACTCTAGCACATTATCCTAAACCCACTAGTGCATGATTACTTTGCACTAGTATGTTGTCTTATTAGGGAATAGCATAAATGACTGCCTTAATTGGTGTAAACTTCTTTTAATTGATGAAAGAGTACATTAAAATTTACAATTTATAAACAGAAAATGTGACAATATCTTATCTCAATTTGATAATCTAATTTATAATCTCATGAATTGCACTTTTTATTAGTAAAAGAATTATAGATTAAAAAATTTTAATTTCTTTTGGATAGGTGTGACTCATCTGAAGACTGAATTTTGATACCAAGCATGACCATGATTTGCCAGAAGATCATCTGTTTGGATGTGACATGGAATAAACAGCATAGTGAAAATAAGTCAAGTTTTGGTTTGTGAAGACAATTTTTAAACACACTGTGTATCATTTTTAAATTTTGATTTGACAACATAAATCCACAAATATGAACATATCAATTGCTCTCAGTTTTTCAAGTGAAATAGTTTTTGTAACAGAAATACATGTACCAGTATTTACATTGGAATAAATGTTATTTTTAAATATAATAATATTTTGTTTGTGTAGCATGTTGACCTCTTATTTAAGGTCTTCCCTTTCAAAGTTTAAACTTACTTATTCTAATGATTAAGATAGATCCTTTGTCTTCAGCAGGAATAGAAGATTGTGTAATACATGTATGTGTATTTTTTAAAGTATAATGTAAAACAAAATTGTTATTTTGGCACATACAACTAATTAAAGGCATAAACATGTGTATGATTCCAAGGAATTCAGTACATAGGGCATGTACATGTAGTTTTCTAAAACAAGATTGAAGAGATGTCCAGTTGCATTTCAATGTCAACTGCAAAACTGTGCCTGTTGCATACTTATTAGCCCATCTGAGCTAAAGGAACCAGTAAATTTTTTAAAAACATAATTTTATCCATTATCATCATTGTCTAAAATTTCACAATATCATTTTCCAGAACCAAAGTGAAACTTGGCACAGAGCATCCCTAGTGTAGGGGATTCAAATTGTTCTTATGCAGGGCAATACCTTCAAAGAGATTTGTTTCTTTAATGCTGTAAATGTATTATATTTAGCTTGTACAATATTTGGTGGAAATTGACTTTTGAATAAGTTAGCGTAGATATTCTTATTTATGTTTATGTACAAGACATTTAGCTTTGTATTTGATTTAGTGATTGCTGCATTCCGCCAAAGCCGCTAAAAAAGAATACACAGCCATATGTAATATGTTTACAATATACCTTTCAGAGAATTTTACACTCCTATTGAGGTACCACCAGTTGCTAGCGGAAAGCTGCAAATTCGAAACATACACAACACATTTCTGTGCGTTTATTATAAAAGTATTGTTCTACTTACTGATTGCAACTAATGAAGATTGTTCATCATTATTGTAAATACATTTGGATTTTTTGAATTATTATATAATTTGCTTATTTTATTTACCTAGTTATATTGTATATTAAATGATTTTAAAGCTATTTTTAGCAATTTTTTATTCAATATTACTTGGTACACATGTAAGCTACACTAAGATACATAGAATAGTGCATGGGTTTTTAATTTTGATGAACGGTGTTGCCATGGTTACTATAAATAGAATTTTTTGTGAAATTCCTTAAAAACGCTACTCCTTCTACAGTTTTGGTCTGATTTCAGTACTACTTGGCACACAAGTAGACTACTCTCAGATACATAGAATAGTGCATCGATTTTTAATTTCGATGAACGATGTTGCCATGGTTGCTAAAAAAAGAATTTTCTGTGAAATTCCATAAAAACGCTACTACTTCTTCAGTTTTGGTCTGATTCCAAAATAACTTGGCACACAAATAGACTACACTAAGATACATGGAATAGTGCATCGGTTTTTAATTTCGATGAACGATGTTGCCATGGTTACTAAAAATAGAATTTTCTGTGAAATTCCTTTAAAACACTACTCCTTCTACAGTTTTGGTCTGATATTAGTATAACTTGGCACACAAGTAGACTACCCTAAGATACATAGAATAGTGCATAAGTTTCTGATTTCGATGAATGGTGTTACCATGATTACTAAAAATAAAAATAGAATTTTCTGTGAAATTCCTTTAAAACGCTACTCCTTCTACAGTTCTAGTTTGATTTCAAAATAAGTTGGCACACATGTAGACTACACAAAGATACATAAAATAGGGCAATGGTTTTTGATAAGTACATACCAGTAGAGCTACAGTCTCGACAGAGACTTCTGGTTAAGATTGTAATGTAGCAAAACACTTATGTTTCTGTAGTATGACACGTTTCACAAACATAATTGCAACAAACATGATATACATGTATCCGATATCAAAAGTCATAATATTGGAAGTTAAACTGTTGTGGATACGATTTCAAGAATGCTGTTAGAGTACCCTTTAGACCTCATGCTCACACCAAATTAAAGAATTCAAGCAAGGGTTTCTGAGACAAATCGAAAAAGAGAATGTTAGCAAAGTTGACAATCTAGACAGAAACATTTAATCTTTTGCTTATCGCTAGGAAGGAAGACCCACTCGTTGCTTTGCAACGAGCTTTGCTCTAGTTATTATTATTATTTTTCTTCTTCCTGGGTACTTATTTGTCCGGGAGTGATCTTGTAAACTACACATCCGACTTAGGTAAAACCTTTTTAGGGTTAGTAGGCATGTTATGTAGATTTGCGGAACGAAGGTCATTTTGCGCGCACGTGCTTGCAAGAGCGTGCACGTGCAACGTGAAATGACCGATTTAATTGATATAGGCGTAACTTTTTACATTTTTGATGAAATGCTTTGAAACTCATAATATAAGGATATATTAGTAGCATAAACAATATGACATGGTCAAAATCGCAAGATCTCACGCGCATGCACGTGCACTTCGCTCTGATTGGCTGAAACTAAAGTCTCTATATCTTTCTTGTTTTTTGACGAAATCCCTTGAAATTTGGAACATAGCCATACATTAGGATATCCTACAACGTGATATATAGCAAATATCATGAAAACACGTGCATGCATGTGCGCTGCAACCTGATTGGCTTAAACTTTAAATAGCTATAACTCCCTTGATTTTCAACCAAACAGGATGGGATTTGGAACATAGATAGATATAATGGACCTCTACAAGAAGGTATGGTCACCAAGCACATGCATACATGTGCGTGTACATGTGCTGCAATCTGATTGGCTGAAACTTTAAACAGCTATAACTCCCTTGGTTTTCAACCAAACGGGGTGGGATTTAGAATATAGATAGATGTAATGGACTTCTACAAGAAGGTATGGTCACCATGCTCATGTATGCACGTGCGTGCACGTGAAATGAGTATAATTAAAAATACACTTGAATGAGCGTATTTTTTAATACTTTTGGATTAAATACTTTAATATTTAGTATATTAAAATATATAGATTCTGTAGACAATATGATATGGTCATTACGCGCATGCATTCACACGCGGACGCGTGCAATGCTAAAATTTGAATGAACTTGGTACACTTCTGGGTAAATGTTGTTAAAGTGTCAAATGCATAACGTTTGTCTTATTTAATGAAGCTTACAAGGGATATGGCACCAAAAGGGAGTTGGGGAGCGTTTGGGGACATCTGTAACGGTCCCCGTTACAATTAGCACTAGTTATTATTATTATTATGTTCCCCAAACGGAGTTTGGGAACATATTGTTTTTACTCGGTTTCTTATTATTATTATTATTATTATTATTATGTTCCCCAAACGAAGTTGGGGAACATATTGTTTTTACTCTGTTTCTTATTATTATTATTATTATTATTCTTTTTTCTTCTTATTTCTTCTCCGGTACTTTTTTGTCCGGAAGTGTTCTCAGAAACTGTTCACCAAACTAAGTTAAAACCTTTTTAGGGTTAGTAGGCATGTTGTGTAGATGTGCCGAACGAAGGTCATTTTGCGCGCATTCGCATGCACGTGCGGGCGCGTGCAATGAGTAAACTGACTGATATATTTAATGTGGTTGTAACTTTTATATTTTTTGATAAAATGTTTTGAAACTCATTATATAAAGATATATAAGTTGTGTACATAAGATGACATGGTCAAATTTGCATGATCTCACGCGCATGCACGTGCGCTTTGCTCTGATTGGCTGAAACAGAAATCTTAATATCTTTTTTGTTTTATGATGAAATGCTTTGAAACTTATAACATAGACATATATTAGGATGTACTACAATATGATTTATAAAATTTTTCATGAAATCACGCGCATGCACGTGCGCTGCAATCTGATTGGCTGAAACTTTAAATGACTATAACTCCCTTGGTTTTCAACCAAACAGCATGGGATTTAGAACATAGATAGACATAAAGGATTCCCACAAGCTGGTATGGTCACCATTCACATGCATGCACTTGCGTGCACGTGCGCTTTGCTCTAATTGGCTGAAACAAAAATCTCAATATCTTTTCTGTTTTTTTACAAAATGCTTTGAAATTTGAAACATAGGCATACTTTAAGATGTCCTACAATATGATATATAATAATTGTCATGGAAACATGCGCATGAACGTGCGCTGCAATCTGATTGGCTTAAACTTTAAATGGCTATAACTCCCTTGTCTTTCAACCAAAAAGGATGGGATTTAGAACATTGACAGACATAATGGACTCCTACAAGAAGGTATGGTGATCATGCACGTGCGTGCACGTGCATATGAGTAAAATATTGTAGACAAGATGATATCGTCATTACGCTCATGCAATCACATGCACACGCCTGCATTGCTTGAATTTGAAATACTTGGTTTACTTTGGGGAAAACGTTGTTTACGTCTTAAATGCATAGATTTTGCCTTCTTTAATGAAACTTACAGGGAGTATGGCACGAGAAGGGAGTTGGGGAGCGTTTGGGGAACATCTGTAACGGTTCCCGTTACAATTAGCACTAGTTATTCTTTTTTTTCTTCTTTGTTCTCCGGTACTTTTTTTGTCCGCGAGTGTTCTCAGAAACTGTTCACCCAACTGAGCTAAAACCTTTTTAGGGTTAATAGGTGTGTAGTGTAGGTGTGCAACACGAAGGTTATTTTGCGCGCATACGCATGCACGTGCGGGCGCGTGAAATGAGTGAAATGACGGATATACTTTATATAGCCATAACTTTAACATTTTTTGATGAAATATTTTAAAACTCATTTAATAAGGATATATTATTAGTGTAGATAATGTCACACTGTCAAATTAGCACGAGCTCACGCGCATGCACGTGCGCTTCGCTCTGATTGGCTGCAACAAAAATCTCAATATTTTTTCTGTTTTTTGACGAAATGCTATGAAATTTAAAATATAGGCATACTTTAGGACGTACTACAATATGATATATAACAATTGTCATGTAAACACGCGCATGCACGTGCGCTGCAATCTGATTGGCTTAAACTTTAAATGGCTATAACTCCCTTGTTTTTCAACTAAACAGTATGGGATTTAGAACATAGACAAACATAATGGACTCCCACAAGGAGGTATGGTCGTCATGCACATGCATGCACGTGCATGCACGTGTGCTTTGCTGTGATTCGCTGAAACAAAAAT